ACAAGGATTCTACAAAAAAAGAAAATCATAAGCCAATACCTCTAATGAACTTTAATGCAAAAATCCTCAACAAAATACTGGCACTTTCAACTATGCATTTAAAGAATAAGAGATTATGCTGAGTGAAGTAAGTCAAGCAGGGAGCGTCAATTATCATACAATTTCACTTCCTTGTGGAGCATAAGGTAACACCAGGACATTAGGAGAAGGAAAGGAAAAGTGAATTGGGGGAAATCAGAGGGAAAGACGATCCATGAGAGACTGTGGACTCTGAGAAACAGCGTTTTGGAGGGGATGTGGGTGGGGGTGGGGGGTTAGGTGAGCCTGGTGGTGGGTATTAAGGAGGGCATGTATTGCATAGAGCACTGGGTGTGGTGCATAAACTATGAATCTTGGAACACTGAAAAAATATAATTAAGTTAAAGAAGAAAAAAAAAAAAAGAATGGGGCATCAGGGTGGCTCAGTGGATTAAGCCTCTGCCTTCAGCTCAGGTCATGATCTCAGGGTCCTGGGATCCAGCCCTGCATCAGACTCTCTTCTCAGCAGAGAGCATGGTTCCCCCCCTCCCCCTCTGCCTGCCTCTCTGCCTACTTGTGATTTCTCTCTCTGTCAAATAAATAAATAAATAAAATCTAAAAAAAAAAAAAAAAAAAGAATTCAACATCGTCAAACAGTATTTATCCCTGAGATGGTTGAATGCGTACACCTCAATCACTGCAATGCACCACATTACTAGAATGAAAGGTAAAAATCATATGATCCTCTCAATAATGACAGAAAAAGCAACTGACATCATTTAACATCTTTTCATAATAAAAAAAAAACTCTTAAGAAATTAGCTATAGAAGGAACATACCTCAACATAATAAAAACCATATATGACATTCCCAAAGCTAACATCATACTCAGCAGTAAAAAGTTTAATACTGTTCCTCTAAGATCAGAAACAAGACAAGGGTACCTGCTCTCACTACTCCTATTCAGCACAGTACTAGAAGTCCTACCCAGAGCTATCAGGCAAGAAAAAGAAATTAAAGGCATCCAAACAAGAAAAGATGAAGTAAAATTGTCTCTGTTTGCTAATGACAATCCTAGAGAGTACACACACACACACACACACACACACACACACAAAACCCTATTAAGACTAATAAACCACTTCAGTAAAGTTTCAGAATACAAAATAAGATCTATATACCTATATACCAAAAAGAAAACTAATGAAAGAAATTGAAAAAGACAGAGAGAAGATTTAATGATGGTCAAGTATCTATACTACCCAAAGTCATCTATAGAGTCAGTGCAATTCCTATCAGAATTCCAATGGCATTTTCCACAAAAATAACTTTTAAAAATCCTTAAGTTCATAGGGAATTTGAAAAGACCCTGATATGGGATTGGGAGGGAGACAAACCATAAGAGACTCTTAATCTCACAAAACAAACTGAGGGTTGCCCCGGGGGTTGGGGGGTGTTGGGAGAGGGTGGTGGGATTATGGACATTGGGGAGGATATGTGCTATGGTGAGTGCTGTGAAGTGTGTAAACCTGGCGATTCACAGACCTGTACCCCTGGGGCTAATAATACATTATATGTTAATAAAAAAATAAAAATTTTTTTAAAAAAAGACCCTGATAGCTAAAGCAATCTTGAAAAAGAACAAAGGCATCCCATATCCTGAGCTAAATCTGTATTACAAAGCTACAGTAATCAAAACAGTATGGCACTGTCAGAAAAAACAGACTCATAGACCAATGGAATAGAACTGACAGCCCAGAAATAAACCCTCAACTAATATCTACCAAAGGAGCCAAGGATATTCAGTGGGAAAACAATAATCTCTTTAGTAAACAATATTGAGAAGACTAGATATTCACATGCAAAGAATGAAGTTGAATCCCATCTTACACCACTCACTAAAATTAACTCAAAATAGACTGAAAACTTAAAGACCTGAAACTGTAAACATATTTATAGTTTAGAAGAAAACATAGAGGAAAGCTCCTTGATTTGGGTCTTTTGCCATGATTTTTTAGATATGACTAAAAGAAGAAAAAGTAACAAAAGCAAAAATAAAATTGCGTAACTACATCAACCTAAAAATTTCTGTGCACCAAAAGAAACAATCAACAAAATGAAAAGGCCACCTATGAAATAGAAAATATTTACAAACCATGTATGTATGTGATATATGATGTATTTGTAAACCATGATACATACGATTCAATAGCAAAAAAATAATAATTTGATTAAAAAATGGACAAAAGACCAGAACAGATATTTTTCTAAAGAAGACATACAGATGGCCAACAGGCATATAAAAAGATGTTCAATAGTCCTTATCATTAGGGAAAAGCAAGTAAAAACCTTAATGAGACATCATTTACTTCAGTTAAAATGGCTTGCATAAAAAAGATAAGAGATAAGAAATGGTGGTGGTGGAGATTCCCCAAGCAATTAAAAGTAGAACTACCATGTGATACCACAGTCTAACTTCTAGGTATATATCCAACGGAAACAAAATCACTATCTTGAAGAGATATCTGCAGTCTCATGTTCATTGCATTACTCAGTATAGCCAAGACAAGGAAACAGTCTAAACACCTGTCTCCATTGATGGATGAATGCATGAAGAAAATGTGGTTTAAACTTAGAATGGAATATTATTCAGCCATAAGAGAGAAGATTCAACATGAGTGAAGCTGAGGGCATTAGGCTAAGTGACATAAGTCAGAGAAAGACAAATACTTATCTGTATGATCTCACTTATATGTGAAATCTAAAAACATTGACCTCGATATGTATGTAAGTTGATGGATGTTAACTAAACCTATTATGATAATCATTTCACAATAAATGTAAATGAAACCACCTTAAACTTATACAATGATACATGTCAATTAAACAGAGAATAGATTGATAGTTACTGGGAGCTGGGAGTTAGGGGAAATAGGGAATGTTGGTTAAAGGGTACAAATTCCAGGGATCTAATGGAAGGCAAGGTGACCATAGTTAACAGTATTGTATTTTATGCATGAAAGTTGCTATATTATTAAATCTTGAATGTTCTCAACAACAACAACAAAATGATACTTAGGTGAAAGATGTGTTTTTGTGGTAAACATTTTGTAATATATATGTGCATCAAATCATCACATTGTACACTTTAAATTTATATAATGTATGTCAGTTGGGTCTCAAAGCTGAAGAAATTAGGAAAACTCAGTCTCCATTAGAGTACCTAGTTTGAGGATTCTACACCTGTATTATCCACATATTCTTAGATGTAAATAAGTTTGCATGTTACGTATAAATTAGCTACTTAAATGTTTTCTTTAAGAATTTTCTTCTCAGAATGCTGATAATTTTAGTTTGGAACGATTTTAGTAGGAGTTTGACTCATTTAAATAGCTTTTATCTTATATAGCAACTCTAAACACCTTCTCATAGCCTCCTTATCAATTATACTCTTGGTCAGGCTATGACTACCTAAGACATGATTTTTTTGTTTTGTTCTCCACGTGGACTCATGTGGAACTCCCACTTCTGGATAATGTTAAGTAATGAATAACTGATACTTCGCATTCTTTAGAGAATGCATTAAAATCTTTTTTATTACTATCTCATTGATAAAAACTTTATTCAATATTTTAAATTATTATAAAAACACTAAGTTAAAATGGCAACTACTTATAGATGCATAGAAGTCTTGGCTTTTTTTCCATTATAAATCTATAAACAAACATAGCTAAATAGTTAGTCTTCATAAACAGCCATGTTTTAAACATGGCATTTTTTTCTAATATGAAAGTAACTCATTATAGAATACTGGAAAATACAAACTGTATGAAAAAGAAAATGAAAACCATCTATCTATTATTCCACCACCCAAAGAGAACCATCATCCAAATACTACTGTGTTTCCTTAGCTTCCTGTGGTAGCATAGACATAATTCTGTGTCTTTTTGCCATTCACATAATTTTGTGTATATGTTAGATGACAAAGGGACAAATCCAAAATATTAAATAAGTAATGTCTCATAGTGTTTATTATTTACAAGTGAATTTTATCTCCTCTTTTTTTTTTTTAAACTTCATTAATTCTCTTAGGAACGTTTTTCCCCCATGGTTTTGAACTGAAGCCACCACTAACAGTATATTTAGCAGTGGCAACATTAGCAAATCCTAGAGCTCAGATTCAAACTCAATTCTCTAGAAGTATCTCAAATCCCAGTTCTCTTCCCTCAACAATGCAACTACTTCAGTGTATTTGTATTTCAGCTACAATCTGTCCCTTTGACTAAATTAAAAATCATTCTAAAAGTTTGCCTTAAAATACCCTCAGAGTGTTACTAAATTAAGTTTAAATATCAAGTATAAATTTTCAAGCAATTAGTTTTGGTTTTGCCTGAGCAGAACACCCCACAGATGATGTCGAATAAAAACTATTTACACACTACCATAGAGCATTTCTTGTAAAAACGTTGGGTCTGTAGCAGCGATTTGCTAATCAAATTCAGAATTTGATTTGAAATGCCTGCGGCAGGCAGCCAATCCAGTTATGAAAGCACAGAAGCAAAAACTAGAGCCCTGGTGAGTCTCCTCCAGAAGCGAGCTGGGTCCTTTGCTCTCATTAGCAAACTGGTTCCATAGGAAATCATTGTGATTGCTTCTAAAATAAAATATTGTAGTTAATTTTTTCAATAAATTATTGGACTGTACTAGACACAAAACATGTACATTTCAGAATCTAGAATTATAAAATATTTTGACATGTTTTAATATAAACAGGAACATTTCCAATGATTGCTTGGATCTAAAATGTTTTTCCACTTGACATTTGTTTATACTTCCTAGGAAAGAAACTCTATTTATGGATAACTGAATAACACAAATAAACATCAGAGAGAGCTGAAAAATCAGCTTTGATTATGCATGAAAATCTACAATGTCATTGTGTACTCTTATGCCGTATTCTGATTGCCTGTTTATTTTTACAGAATTGCTGGTGAGCCTATGGAAGAGGAGCCAGCCTTGTGAAGTGCCAAGCCCCCCACCCCCATATTTCCTGTGTGTGACATCATTGTGTATCCCCCCACCCAGCACCCTCAGACATGTCTTGTCTGCTGCCTGGGTGGCACAGATTCGATGTAACGTAAACACTGGGCACAAAATTCCGAACAGCAGCTTCACTTGTTCTTTGGATGGACTTGAAAGGGCATTAAAGATTCCTAAAACGTAACCGCTGTGATTCTCAAGTTACGGTAAACCACTATTGGAAGAAACTGCTTCCAGCATGCTTTTAATACGCTGGGTGACCCACTGCCAGGCCCTAAGTATAAACTAATAACATCCAGTATGGCATTAGATACTATTAATTATTATGGATGCTATGACAGCCAGAGAAATTCTGGGCAAAACCTGAAAAATACTCATTCCTGACATTCTGATCAGTTTCTTAATGGATAATTTTTGTCAGTCTTAAACTGTTTACAGGATTTGTTTTCAGCTATGAACGGACAGCAGTTCCCAACATATTGCAGGGGTTGTTTTGTTTTGTTTGTTTTTTGGCCTTTGTTTTAAACACATGGTTCAATTCTTGCTAGTAAGAGTTCAAGATGGAAGAACTGGGATGAGGCTTTTTTCAATAGAATAAGCCATCCTGTATCTCAAAGTCCAAATGCCAAAGGACCCTCACATACTGTATGTAATGGTGCAGTATTTTATGTCCATTTTTTTAGAAGAATAACCCTATTTCCTTAACATCCCTCTGTGTGTTCTCACACGTGGGGGATTTGCAGTTGTATTTGAGGATGAGGTCTCCGGTTCTCCTCATACGTCCCTTGTTTTGATGAGAAGTAGTATCAAGCATATGTTCCACAGAGGATGGTCTTAATTTTTTTTTCCAAATCTATCAGGAACCTAGTTTGCACTTTCCATCTTCTTTCCTCCAGCACATGCTTTTTCTTACCTTTCATCCTTCCTTCCTTACAGAAAAGCTAAAGATCACCCCCCTCTCCCTGGCTATTCAAGAGATTTGAGTATTTCATTATTTTTAACTTTTCAGGTTAACACAGTTACTTGGTGTGATGTGTTCTTTTAGCTGAGACACCATGGAGATGAAGCAATATCACTGAATTTTCTAGATCTTCAAAATGTGTTAATGAAGGCATTGCCTATTTGAAGTCACCTTGAATTGTGTTAACCTCAAAGTTGTACCTTCCTGTGGGGAAAAAACACACACACAAAAACACATATTTAACTTTTGCACATGTTGCCTTAATGTCAGAGGCTAAAAATAAAGGACATTTATTTCTGAGATGAAAAGCGATTTACTAAATATAAATAGGTTATGCCCCTGCCTCCCTAAATTTTATTTCAATATATAACTCAAACACCTAAAGACATTGATGTAGAATACCTCGCAGTATTTAATATCTGACAATGCTTTTGAAAGAGTTGATGTTTCTTTTTATATATTTTCCTAACTCAAAGGATATATTAAACCCATAAGGGAAGATTGTCATGCTTTTATTCAGAAATCTGAAAGAAACCTTAATTAAAACAAGGTTTTAGGGAAGGCCATGATATGAAAGATATAGAACAATATGGTTTTAGTTAAAGAGGACTCTAACCTGTAAATCAAAGATGAAAGATCTCACTCAAGTAGAATTATATAACTCCCTTTTATTATACAGTCAGACCATATTTTTCATGCATTTGGTTTTCTTAGGATTACCATTTTAATTTTAAAGACTTTTATTACATATACAAAAATGGCTGAATACTTGGTTTAACATCTTAGAAATTTGAGACACCCTTTGAAATAGGAAATCTGAAATGGTATGTAACTCAGTATTAGGTAAAAATTAGTTTTATTGCACAAGGGTAAGGTCAATCTAGATTCATAATAATAATGAATTTTTGCAAAAAAAATTCATATTTTCAGAGAAATTCGTGCCAGTCATATTTTCTAGCTCTTCTATTTTCTGTAATCGCTTGAGGAGATTTACTTACAGAAAACCAAGTAGTGGAGCCAAAGGAACCCCCACCCCCAACAAGGAAACTTACATCATATTTTAATTGGGAATGTAATTGTGACTTTTTAAAATCAACTTGATAGTAACAAATCTCAATTATTACTTTCAGTCCTCCCAGGTATTTTTTAGATGTTGAATAAAAAAATGAAACAGTACAGTGCAAGCATACTACTTTGCTGAAGTTGCCTATAATAATTTTGCCACTTACTTACTATACACAACCATCAACCTGATAAAGCCAAATCGCTAGGACATCTCCATGGTTATTTAAATTTAATACATGACACATTAATGAGTTTATCACACATCCTCCCATGTGATACTGTACCCAATTGGTTAGGTCTTCAGGATACTCGGAGAGGCAGATAAACTATGGAGAGGATTAATCACAGCTGAATGTAGTTGTAAGAACAGAATGCCAGTGCTTTTTGATTAGACCGTTACAAGCTGTAGCATAGCCCCCGGGGACAGAATGGAGGCTTTTGGAGAATATCAATGCTTCTTTTGAAATAGACCAGCACTTTTTAAAAGGGTGGTTTCACGTGGTAATAGTTTTCTTCACTTATATATTTAATTTTTATTGCTCATAATAATAAGAGGTTATTAGAACTCCTCTCTAAATATTATCAATAAGATATCTTTCTGATCCGTACTTTGAAGGTTAAATACACAAGCTTTCTCACAATCTCATAGCTCATACATGATGAATAAAAATGATGACTTTTTAGAAACCAATTCGTAAACAATCATAGGGCTTTAAAATGTTTTGATAATAAGTACAAAAAGAAAATTTTCTCAGTTATATAGTACAATCCAGGGTTGCATATAGAATTTAAAAATAGACAATTTTATTAGGATGATAAGTAAAATGGACTTCAAGTGGTAATTGAGGCTATTTAATTATTGCTTAGTAAATAGGAAGAACATTTTGAGATGAAATATTTTAAAACATTTTTAACAAATTTACAACATCGATATTAGAGATAGAAATCCACTTTTAGAGAAAACAGAGATACTCATGAAAAACTATTACAAATCACATTTCATTACCAATCACAAGAATTGAAACCTTGCCTTCAGTTTTGACTATAACCCTTTGCAAAACTTTCACACACCTCTCACTGAAGATAAGCAGAAGTACCTGGCTGGCTCACATAGTAGAGTGTGAAACTCTTGATCTTGGGGTTGTAAGTTCAAGCCCCAGCTGGGTGTAGAGATTACTCGAAACCTTTTTATAAAAAAAGAAAGAAAGAAAGCATGGTGGATTTGAAAGCAGGACAACTCCTCACGCAATTTCAGAAACTGTAAGGGCTGGTCTCTCCTAACAGTTTAGTACTATTTTGTTTCCGAAGGTCATTCGTAAAGCTTTGTGGATTTACTGGGTTTCATCACAGACTCCGTATGGAAGTAAAACAGAATGACCCTGTGGAAAGTCTCCTGGGAGAAAATTTCTCTTCAATCAGTACTTTTATACTTATTTTTTATACCAGCATCTATGTTTAGTATGGTTTATTTAAAATATTTCTTACTATTTTTCTTTTGAAAGTTTACACTCAGTTTATCTCAGTGAAAGTATTAAATGTCTAACAGCCACAAAACAAACAAGCCAAAGGTTTCTGTCTTAAAAGCAATTCATTCTGAGATTGAAATAATCACTCTGTCAGAATTTGACATTGTCATTTCTAGTGGCATCTATCTTAACATTCTTTTCGTGCTTCAGGAATGAAATCACTTGACTTGCTGAGAAAATAAGAGAAAAAAAAAAAGAAGTAGTAGGGAACAACACCTACCTGTTCAGCTATTCCATAAAAAGGGCATTTTCACCTCCAAAAGAAATGAAAACCAGATGATCTAAGCTAAGAAATGGAGGCTTTCTATTGTCATCTTCAAAACTGGTCATCAACATGGCCATGATCTTCTTCAAATATCTCTTGTATTCCCAGAGGATACAATTGTATTTTGGTCTCCAGCAGTATTTTATACTATTTACTGCCTTTTGAATAAAGTATTATGAGTATTACATCACCTGAATTAACACCATCACTACAATATGGAAGTGCCCATGTGTGTCTTCTTTTCCCAGTCATATTTACATTGAAAATCATAGCCCGTGCCTCCTTGCTTTTACTCCATCAACTGCTTCATGAAACAAAGCATGATTGTCATGTGGTCCAGAGTATAAATATTTTAGATGAACATGGTTTACTCATACAGGACTCTAGAACTTGATTTCTCCAAATCAGCTGCAGTCTATTTTTTTATGAAATACATGGCTGGTTTTACATAATGGTTTATGCAACACTGAGTCAATTAAAATATGCTGGAAATAGCTGGGTCAGACTGTTGAAACTTAGACTGTTCATCTGGGGCTTTGGGGGCTTAATCTCGATAATAGAGTAATAGGGGTATAACAATTTCTCAAACCATCTTAATTCTCAAACTGGAACTTTTAGCAAATACATGGTGAATTCACCATATAGTGGCAGTCTTCCTAACCAGTCATTTCCACCTTTCTCTCCTTCCCTTGTCCAACTGCCAATACCAAATTGCCGTATCTAAACTATCAGAGTAATCTCTTAAATCTCTGTATTTCCCAAGTAAAAACAACCTTGGCAACTTATTTTCTGAACACTACTAGGTGTGCTTTGATTCATGTATATAAACTCTGATGGATACTCTTTATCTTCCTTTTTACCTTTTCCTTTTCAAGAACCACTTGACTTTTTTTGACTATTCTTATTTTAAAATATAGATCCAGTTATTGTCTTTTGGTCTACAATTTTGGACCTGGTACTTTGTTTTATTAATACAGAATTTTTCTTTTGGTCTCCAATATAGTTTTCCAGCGTTCTTGGTACTGCCTATTTGTGTTGTACTAGTAATCACATAAAGAAAATTGTATATACACTTTTCTTGCCCTTTGGATGATGCCTTTGTGAGTCAAACTCAGAGGCATAAACTCTAACCTGAAGAAAAAAAAATGGCAGAAGTGTAATTTTAAATCAATATAATTTGGAAATAAGATATTATTTCCAGACTATTCAAAGAAAATTGGAGTTCTTTTATTTTTCTGTTTGGGCCTTAGGCACATTAGAGGCAAATGTTGCAACATCAAAGAAAATAAGGAGGGTCAAATGTTTTGTGGGACAATGTAGTCATGTCCTTTAGGCTTCATTCCAGTGCCCTTTCTTAGAGTTGGCATTTTATGACACTTGATATCTTGCAGCAATTTCAGGCGATTGCTTTTATTAACTTAAAATTGAGTAGAAATGAAGTAATAAAACAACTGAGGAAATAGGAATTCTGAGATCTGAGGAGGAATTGCACTTCTTAGGGATGAAAAAAAAATTGTTTTTAGATAAACTCTACCTATGCTTTTTCTAAATTTTAAGATTCTTAAACTTTTTCTGGATGAGCAGTGTCAGTGGCTGTCTCCACAAAAGCTGGGTTATATGAAATTGCCCTTTCCGTGGTTGCTAGGCGTGAGAAGTGTTCTGTTACAAGTGAATGATTATTTTGTAGATTATAGCCTCGTCACTTTGTGTCATTTGAAAGCAAATATCCTGATATTTTTAAACAAGGTGGGCAGGGCAGGCAGGAAACCAATATTTATTACTCTCATGATTAAACACTTTAGATCAGGCTTGTTGATGTGTATGCCAATAATCTGGAGTTTCTGGCTTTGTGTAAAATGAAAATGTCTTTTCTATTGTGGTCTGATATCTGTTTCTGTAATAAGATCATTTTGTTGTCCTCTGTGCACCAGTGGTTTTGCCCTTAATTTTTTTGGCTAGCATTCACCAAAATCTGTCATCCAGAGCTGCTGAGAAAAATACATGTTGCCAAACTTCTTTTCTTAAAATTGTGCTGCCAGTGATGTTTTCCCAGATGTGAAAATTAATTATCTAATAAAGGATTAATACCTAATAACAATACCATTGTTGAACATGCTCATGGAATGTTTACCTTCTTTCTGATTCC